TGGGCATGTGGGGACATCATCCCAATGTCGTTCATCAGTCTGGTCCTCAGCCATTCCTCTCGAAGCTTGTCGTACACCTTTGTACCTGTAATAAGATTGGGAATATAATATATGCGGTAAAGGTGAAGGAGAGTTCATTTAAATAGTTAGCAATCATGATCTCGGCATTTCCAAGCATCTCATCCCTTCGCCAAAACTATTTTTTCATTCCACAATGAATATTAATCATTTAGAAAATTGCAAAAAAAAAAAATATGAATGTCATGATCAAAATTGAACTAAATTAAACTTGAATGTACATTATTAAAATAAATGTAAATATTTTGCTCGCATTTTGACAAACATCTTCAAAGTATTATTACACCGTATGCATATAAATAAGGATTTTACCCACATCCAAACAAAAAGAACAACTTGAGGCTAGTTTCATAGAAAGAAAAAAAGCAAAGTTAATCTGTAGTCGGATAAAAAAAACAACAAATGACCGATGATTTTGTTTTAATAATCATCCCTGGCAACAACACTAGATCTAGACTCTAGACCATTTTGATTTGAATAAAAACAGTGTTTTCATCACGAGAAAGTATCAAGAAGAGGCACCCATGTGATTTCTGACATCAATTCAAAATAATTTAGTTCCTGGCTTCACTGTACTGCAGTGCACTGCCACTGGGCGGCACGAGTCCAAGGCCTAGATTCTACCAACTACCTAGTTTTCTTTTTCTTCTTTTTTAGGCCCAATTCTTCTTCAAAATCTCCATTTCATCTTCTTCTTATTTTTCATTGTTTACAGACTATATTCTAGACAATAAAACAATGTAGATCTAAATAATTCTTTGATTTAATGCTGGTAAACCATGCAAAAGGAAAGGCTATCTGTGCGATAAAAGCGAGCGAAACTTAGTTTTGTTCGAGAAATATTCCACGACCACCAGCATGACACGGCGCGGCAAGTCAGGCCGGCCCGGCCGCGGCCCGAGTGCTCTCGCGAGGCTCAGCGATAGATTGCTGAAAGTTGTGCAATCGCAGACCGAGGCAGGCAGCCAGCAGCGCAGGCAAATGATTCGTTTCAATCTAATTTAGTGGAAATTTGGGGTTGATATTCCATATTACGTAGCGTGAAATTAATACAGATATAAAATGTCAACATTCTAATCGTAAAATGTCCAAATACAGCTTCGACATTGATATTTACAACAACAAAAAAAGAGAGAAGAAAACTTCACATACCGACCACCATGCGAAGAACCAGCTGCAATACCGAGTGGCCAAATAACCTACACGTTATGACGTCATCAGAAACGGGTAGAAACGGCCACCGGCTAGCGCAGCCGAAACTAAATCTCCGGGGTGCCCCTCTCAAATCCGTGAATCCTGGGGTTCGGATGCTAAATACTTCTTTCAGAGGCCGTGGAATCTCGAGAAGTTTGCATTTTCATATTCAGTAAATATTCACGAGTCCGTACGTATATAATTTGTCTATATAATGCTCTGCTCCGGTCAAGGTCTTTAAAGCAAGTTGTTTAAATTTTAAACAATAATGTTTAAATTACTAAGCAACTGTTGTTTATTCAGTATTACTGCACAACTGGGTTGTTTAAAAGGAGTTGCTTAAATTTTAAACAGAACTGTTTAATGGTTATTATCTGGTTGTTTGAATTTGTGAAATGACCTACTGGAACCACTCCTGCAATAATCACAACGATCTGCATGTTGCCAATTTACTTCAACATTTGTTCATCATATTCATGGCAGTGACAGACAACATTATTATTTGTCTCTATAACTTCACCTAAACCCCATCGGCGAAGCCGAGAAGAACCAAGTCGTCGCCTTGCCCTTGTTCCGCCATTTTCGTCTGCACTGCACTGCACTAGCCCTTGCACTGCACACACTAGCACTGCATGCTTGCATGCATGTATTATGTACGTACTTTGTGCATATCGCATGTGTGTGCGCAAATAGCAATCGCGTATCGAGAAAATATCAACGACGCCCCCGGGACTTTTTAAACAACTCTGTTTAATTAAATATTTTTGTCTTTTAATACATAGTTGTTTAAGTCAATAGAGCACTGATTTTTCGATTTTGAACAACGTTGTTTACTTTTTTAAACAACATTCTTTTAAACAGTGATATTTTAAACACCGTTCTAACAGTGTACGGAGTTCAAATTCAGATTTAGATTCAAATATTTCCTGTATGTATTGAATTAATATGAAACAAACGTCTACATTTCAGTAAGTATCTAAAGACTAAAGATGATAAATTATAGTAAAGTTTACTGTAGAATTGTAAATAAATGAGATTTCCATGGAAGAATTACAAAAAATTAGAACAAAATTAATAATTATTTTGCGTAAGTTTTCTTTAATGTGCTTCCACTCTAAAAGACTATGGGCTAAGAATGATTAACTAGAGTAAGAAAATTTTCTTTTTCTTTAACATAGAGCGTGAACAAGGGAAATGCTCTCGGCGGTCTCGCCTACATTACGCAATTCGATATGAAAAATTGAGGTTTTGACATTATTTATAGGCAGGGTAGCCCATTAGCAGGCCCCAAAATATGAAATCCTCTGAATATAACCAGCATTATAAAGTGAATATTGACCAAGAATCATCAGGGGAATAATGTACTATTAGTTGTACCAGGCATGTATATAACGCAGGGGGGGGGGGGGAGTGGGTGTTTGGGGGTCGAACCCTCCCCTTAATTATTTTTTGTGCGTTTGTTTAGGAGTCCTATGTCTCGCTTTTTGCTATGCAGCAGATAAAAATGTCACACAGTGTTTACCTGAAATTTGCAATTTTTTTACAAATATTTATAATTACGTAATGATTTATCAACGTTTTACAAATTCTTTTTTTAAATGGGTTTTCCTTTTACATAAGGTATATTACGGTAAGAACCGTTTGCATTGAAATCATTCATTCCTTTCATGTAATTTTTCACATACTTGTAAACTTCTGCTAGAACTAACTAAATGATACTTTCAATTGTTAGACGAACATTCTGGAGTAATTCAAAAATATGTATTAGTAGACAAAAATAGCAGACCCAATAACCATCAATATGAATACTCGTAATATAATAATAATATATGCTATCCCCCTTTTTTTTTAAACATATGATCAAAGCTAAGCAGGGTATAATAGTATAACAAAGTAGCATACATTTCCTAAAATTAAAACTTTGAAACACCATCCCATTAGGAGGGAAGCTTACCGTTTTTCCCCAGTAGCTACGCCAATTAAGGCTTATATTAAACCTTAAAGTGTACCAATTACCCCACAAAATAATCTATAAACAGCTGGAAATAAACCTAAAACTAGATGGAATTTTGACTGCGCGCAGTCGAAAATGATGCCTCCGCCATAGAGCAATTTAAACAAGTTTGGAGTTTAAATCTCCAGTGGTTCTTGAGATATCATGATAACAATCTCAATGTATGGAATTTCATAAGTTGACCTCTGTGACCCTTGACCTTTGACCTACGTGCTCCAAAATGTAATCAGATTGTTTTCCTATAGTGATACACACTATCATTAAGTTTGAAGTTTAAATCTCCAGTGGTTCTTGAGATATTATGATATGGTGATACATACTATCATTAAGTTTGAAGTGAAAATTCTCCAGTGGTTCTTGAGATATCGCGATAACGATCTCAAAGTATGGAATTTCATAACTTGACCTCTGTGACCCTTGACCTTTGACCTACGTGCTCCAAAATCTAATCAGATTGTCTTTCTATGGTGATACACACTATCATTAAGTTTGAAGTTTAAATCTCCAGTGGTTCTTAAGATATTATGATAACAATCTCAATGTATGGAATTTCATAAGTTGACCTCTGTGACCCTTGACCTTTGACCTATGTCCTCCAAAATCTAATCAGATCGTCTTCCTATGGTGATACATACTATCCTTAAGTTTGAAGTTTTTACATCTCCAGTGGTTCTTGAGATATCATGATAACAATCTCAATGTATGGAATTTCATAAGTTGACCTCTATGACCCTTGACCTTTGACCTACGTGCTCCAAAATGTAATCAGATTGTTTTCCTATAGTGATACACACTATCACTAAGTTTGAAGTTTAAATCTCCAGTGGTTCTTGCGATATCATGATAACAATCTCAATGTATGGAATTTCATAAGTTGACCTCTGTGACCCTTGACCTTTGACATACGTGCTCCAAAATCTAATCAGATCGTCTTCCTATGGTGATACATACTATCCTTAAGTTTGAAGTTTAAATCTCAAATGGTTCTTGAGATATCGCGCTAACAAACTCAATACAAGGAATTTCATAAGTTGACCTCTGTGACCTGTGACCTTTGACCTACGTACTCCAAAATCTAATCAGATCGTCTTCCTATGGTGATAAATACTATTCCCGAGTCTTAAGTTTAAATTTTAAATGGTTCTTGAGATATTGTGATAACGGTCAAACGGGACGGACGTACGGACGGACGTACGGACGGACAACCCGAAAACATGATGCCTCCGGCACCACCTTCGGTGGCGGAGGCATAAAAACAATTACGTAACATTGCGCGCATAGAGCCCAAGGCGGATTTGGGCTTTTAACCTTAAAGTTTACCAATCACCCCAAAAAAGTAATCCATGAACAGCTGGAAATAAACCTAAAAAACGATTAAATAACATCGCGCGCACAGAGCTGAAGTCGGACTTGGGTTCCGTACGAGCCCCTTTTTTGGCATTGATTAGTCCCGTCACAAGTTGCTTTTACCTCCTTGCTAAAAACGCACTTTTTAAATTCATGAATTCATGAATGATATTCTACACGGGTGCAGTTGTGAGTCGGTCAAAGGAGGTGCACCGCACACCATCTTATTCCTTGTTTGTTTGGTCTTATGTTTGACCTTATGTTTGCTCTAAATTTTTATTTTTATTATCATATATGCATGATTTATTGAATAAAGAATAGATTTATAATTTGTGTGTTTATTATAAGTTTTAGTTGGTAATTTTAGTTTTAGTTGGTATTCAGACAATGATGCGCTTAGGAAAAACACCAGTATCAAGCGCCTGATAAATGTCGTGTATTATTATTATTATTATTGAGTTAGTTGAGAATATATTTGTATGTATAGGCCTACACATGTAGTATCATGAGATGGAACTACAAGATACAGAACAACATATCTTTGATGCACTTTAATATCCCATAAATTCCGACTTGGGAGTACTCCCGCGAGTCCCGCCCACATAGCCACGGTAAAGATTGTCATCATGTCCGAAGACATCCCCCGGGCGCCCGGGACCTTGACGTCGTGCCCTCTGGTCTCCCGCTCTTCTAAAGGAGGATAGATGCACATTAGTCTGGGGGTCCCTTTTCCTCTGTGCCTACAAATTGTGAGAAATAATAATAATAACTCATTGTTATGGTCATGATATTGATATTATTAATACTGTGCTATACAATCCATTTCTACAACTACTTGTACTATACTGCTGCTACTAATATTACTACTACTACTACTACTACTACTACTACTACTACTACTACTTCTACTACTACTACTACTACTACTACTATACTACTACTGCTACTACTACAACTATTACTGGTCCTACTACTATACTACTACTATCAACAGTAATAATATTAGGGACTTTTAGATTGAGTGGACGAGAATGGCGTGAACGGCCACTGATCATGCGTGTCTATGGAAAGCCATTTTAACATGTATTCCTATTTCTTGATATCAAGAAATGATTGTCTGTTGTAAAGCAATGGTATTTCTTGACATCAAGAATTCAATACTTGATATCGAGAAATGATTTTCTGTTGTAAAGCAATGGTAATTCTTGGTATCAAGAAATAGTAATAAATGTTAAAATGGCTTGTCATAGACAAGCATGATCAGTGGACGTTCACGCCGTTCTCGTCCACTCAATCTAAAAGTCCCTAATATGTGTAATCGTAGTAGCTGCAGCAGCAGTAGTAAATATTAGTCGTTGAAATAGTAATAACAAAAACAACAAAAGGAATAAGAATAGCAATGATATACTAAAACATAAGTTATATTAATAATAACAATATAAATAACAACAATCATAATGATAAAAGCTACAAATCTCATTTTTTAAATGCGCATCCCAGGGGATGCTCCAGTCTCCAAGAAATATAGTGCTCCGTCCATGCAGGATTAAAGTTCGGTTTTTAGTTACCGTAGTGTAGGAAATAAACATCAGTGTAATTGTTGCCCGGGCATTTTGGGGGGCACGAAGATGAAACATATAGGGGACAAGACTTTCTTCTTGTTGTATTCTCAGCATCGCTCTCAAACGTGCTTATATTTTTGTGCATGAACAACTTTTGACATTAACCCATTTACAATCATTCATATCCATTCATTATAAAAAGCCATAGGATATAACGATTATCATGAGAAGTAATTAAAGTGAGTCGATATCTTACGTAAATATAGAAAAAATGATCAGGGTGTGTTTCATCAGCTTAAATTGATTTCGATATTGAGACCAATTTTATGGCTTATTAAAACCCCCTAAACATAAAAATATTGGTTACATTTTTTTGTTTCTGAAGCAAACTGCGCAGAATTCATTAATTGTACTTACGAAATTGTTGTGGGTCATTCTCCTCACAGCAATTATACAGCACGAAAACAGTATAGCCATGAGAACACTCGCTCCTATAGCCACCCCAATTATGCCACCAACACCCAAGAAACTGCCCAGTGAAGTCAGCTCTGTGAATAAAATTACCAGTATTGGAAAATATTATCTTTTGAATGTAATATAATAGGGGCACAAGTGCTTTGTGAGCAATAGACCAAAATCTATATTCATCAATAGCTTATCAATAATTAATCAATACATCTACACGAAGTAAACAAGTTAAAATGTTTGCAAACAGTACACTTCCAAGTAAGCTCATGAAGCCCTGATCACAATACACTCCTTCCAGATAATAGACTCCTCTAATTACTACAATTTATGGCCTATTTTAGGTAATAATTATTTGCTCAATGGCGCGCTGGTTTACCAATCCCCACCCAATAGAGGGTTTACCCATTATAAAAGAGGGTTCGTTTCGGACTCCCATCAGAATACTTCGGACCATTATCAGAGAGAACATTTGAGACAGCCAGGAGGAAACTTCATTGAGAGAGTAAACTCTCAGACATCAGACTTTCTCTAGACTTCAACGCATCGGTACATTGTATTGTATATCTTCATGTCAAGTTTTACATGTATTTCATCGTGATAAATGGGATGCTGTACATTCAATTATATTCAACTTGTGTCACCATTCAAATACTCTAGAATGTATACTTTGTATCGTAAAACCAATCCCAGCACATCACTAGGAGGAGGAGGATGGGGGAAGGGGGGGGGGGGGGGGGGGGAGGGAACTACCGTTTGGAATGAACAAATATGGTTTTATTTGAATCTTTTGAAAAATATTGTCAACATACATTTAAACTTATGTTGATAAGTGCAGGTCTTAATCCATCGATTTGTAATTTTGTATCCTTTCTGCAAAAACTGGAGTGAAAAATCCCATTTTGCATGTTAAATGAATACATGTGCTTTAAATGTCAAAGTAAAACAACCTTTTTGTCTTGTGACTATACCATTGTTCCTGCTAAAGTTGTGAATAGTTTGAATAGGTTTTTTTTTTTTTTGAGGGGGGGGGGGGGGAGACATCTACTCTTACTAGAAGGATTTTAACAAGGGTAAATTAAACCTCATTAGGATTACGGATTATGTCATCAAAATGTTCCCACATATCATAAGGTGATGCTAAGGCTACAAGCCGATTGCCTGTCTGATTATCAAGATATTTATGATTGGAATTAGAAATTTGAAAAAATGTTTTCCCAACATTTTTTTTAACACTACAGTCTATTGAGAATAGACACTACAGTCTAATCCAGAAATAAAAAACCCTCGCGCAATTTACGGTCATCTTCACAATTAAACCTCATGTCTACTTCTGTTTCAACTCTTTCTTATGGTAATCGCTCTTTTTGCAAAGCTTCTGCTGAACTTTGGAACAGATTACCTTTAAATGTCAAAAACTGTCAAACTGTTAACCTATTCAAAACTAGTCTAAAGACACATTTATTCAAAATTGCTTTCGCTGATTAATTAACTGTTCACTTTAATGTTTATGTATTGTGATTTGTAGGTTTATTTGCACTTTTGTTTTGTTTAATATGTAAATGTTTATCAGTCTATTTTGTTTGTTATAACAATATAGCACTTAGAGACTTCGGTGGTAAGCGCTTTATAAGTAACGTTTTTATTATTATTATTATTGGGGAAAATGAGTCTGGTAAAACCGGGCACTCAAAGATTTTTACCTTTTGAGGCACTTCATGATCATTTTGAAGCGCATTTTTTTAGGGCTTCAATATAACACCATCACATGCAGACACTGATAACACATAGGGCCACGCATCTCAGATTTGTAAAACTGGAAACATTGTTAAACAATGCCTTTCAATAGGCTTGATTTAGCTCTTGTACTGTTAGATCCTGCATGTTAAAAGTGCTAATCTACCATTCTAAAAATGTTTCCACTATGATCCCGCCCCCTCCCCCTCCACTCAGCATGCAGGCGTGTAGGAAGCAGTTTGGGATGGGGGGGGGGGGGGGGACAAACATTCCAGGGGCTCACCTTCCAGGGGAAGTGGCGTAATGAGCGTAATGGGGGGCGGGAGATAAACAATCTGCATCACCACCACTCTTAAAATGTGACATGCAGGCCCAGCGGAACATTTTTCAAAGTAGAGTATTAACGATTAGGCAGAGCGTAGCGAGCACAGCGTAAATTTGACTGGGGTCCATGGGCTTTGCCCTGCTGGGTGTCAAGGGATAGAGCCCCCAGAAGCTCAGGGGTTTTAGGCATTTAATTACGGTCAGATGAGCATCCAGGGGCCCTCCTTAGGGCCCTAGATGGGGTCTAGGGGGGCAAAGCCCTCGGCAGCTCAGAGGTTTTAGGTATTTAATTGCGGTCCGATGAGCATCCAGGGGTCCGCCTTAGGACCCATGGTGTAGTCTAGGGGGCAGAGCCCCCGGAAGCTCAGGGGTTTTAGGCATATACGGTCAGATGAGCATATTTTGATACCTAATTTGTGAAACTGGCAGATCACTCATTTTTTCTTTCTCTTTTTTTTTTCTTTCTCTGTAACATACTTTTACAAAATAGTGAGGGGGGGGGGGGGGGGGGGGGCTCAAGCCCCAAAGCCCTGCCGTTCTGCAGGCCCTAACATGAAGGCTTCTAAATAAGCATTTATCTTGCTTGACTGGGAATTTGTAATTTTCCAACAAAACGCATACAAAGGAGTATAATTTACATTTTTTTAAGGAAAAACCCCCGGAAAATCATGTCATTTCAGCAATATCTGTAAATCACTGGTATAGAAATAAACATTTGAATTTTTTTGGGGGGGGCAACTGCCCCCCCCCCCCCCCGGTATGTATAAGTCAATATGGGCCAGATTTCGTTGCATGAAAATCACCCCTTTACCGGAAATTTGGGAACACAAATGCGGTCCCAGACCCCAGAGTGGAGGAAGGGGGGGGGGGGGGGGGGAAGGGAGGGGCTGGCACTTTGAAATGTTGAATTAATTAACTTTTGAGTTTTTAGAGCGTAGGTAATCTTACCGCATACTCTCGCGGGGCCAACCCCTGCAGGTGATCTATCCGTGTAGCCAAAATGACAGGTGCAGGTGTAGGACCCAACCATGTTGGTACAATTGGCATTCTCCGAGCAGTCATTGGTAGTCGTACTTGCACATTCATTGATGTCTAAAGAAGTACAGGAATAAATTATTGACGTTCAAGTTCATATTCATTTATTTTTCCACAACAATAACGAATACGTATAAATAAAAAGCTTTTTACGCCACATTGGTGTAAAATAGCATGAAACATGAGGACAAAAAGATAACAAAGGTGTCGACTTATTAAGCGTTTGGTTTCTATAACTGCTTTTTAGAGGAATCCATACCCAAGCCATCGGATGCCCACATGTACGTTCTCCACTCCCTTGGGAATTTCACTGAATATTCAGGCGCCTTATTAGAGATAACTAGTCAACTGCAAAGACTTTAGCACCCTATCGCTTACTGGCTAGAAATGTATATTTTTTTTAATGGATGGAGTTGACACAATGCCTTGCCTACTGAAAGACTCAGGTGCCATGCCGGGGATCGAACGCACAACCCGACGCATCTCCAGTCAAACGTTTCTACCACTCGGCCACGACACCTCTATTTGCAGGTCATCCAACACTTTGTCCGGCGACAATTGCTACAGGCTTAATTTCTTTCATCAAAAGTATAGGTTTGGGTTTCAATGGGTTTTAGGTTAGGTATATTAGGGCTATGCTTAGGTTTAGTTACAATGTCGTGTAGATACACGGTGGGCCAACTGTCGCAATTAAGCAGCATTCTTCTTACACCCCTATTGCCAATAATAATAACAATTATAGTACAGACATTTACAATGTGTATAAACAAAATATAATAAACTGTTGTATATTCCCATTTTTTAAGTTATAGTCTGTGTGATCTTGAGTTATATGTCATTTTAAATATTAGCTAATATTCTTTCTAAGGATATCTTATTTATGACTCTGCTGATGACTGAGCAGAAGCGTTTTCAAAAAAACTTGTCAAAAATTCTCTTGTACCAATTTGAGCTAAAGCAATAAAAGTGGGTCAAAAGTCCTCACACATTGTTATTTCATTTAAAAAAAAAATCGTGTTCTTCCCATTGATTTTGAGCCTTGGAATAGAAAAGGTAATAATGTAAACCCAGAGTCAAGAAAGGACCCATTTCCAAGCAAAACTTATGATATTATATTTTTTATGACGAAACGACCTTGGTTTCTCTGGCAAATCTTGTTTAAGATAAGCCTTGTCAATAAATCATTAAAAATAGACAAAGTTTACTCGGGATGCTATCTCTTTTTATGAAAATCGTTATCTTTGGTAGTTATCATCATGGCCATCTTATTCTTGCAATTCCTGGATCAATGAGGTATGTAAGTAAAACTCTTTAAAGTAAACTTCTTTTAAAAGGATTGGAAGACAAAAGTAACAGACCTGCCAACCTCTGGAGTTCAAAAACTGTATTCTTTAATCCCAAAAGTTGTATTTTACTGACAAAAGTTGTATTCTTAAAAATAAACACGGACAGTTACGCGGATCAATGCCTCTTACAGTTCCTACATACAGGAAGAAATTTTTGTATGGATCATTGGTTGAATATGCATGATTTCGTCAAGACTGGTGTGTTCTATGAACCAATAAACATCCCCAAATTGCCAATGTGAGATGCTTGTAGGATACTTTACAGGACAGAATGGGGATTTTGCTATTGAAAATGGCACACACATACACAAAATATTTTTTTTTTTTTAAATCGTATTTTATCGAGGAAAATCCTACTGTCTTATTTGCTTCTAAAAATCGTACGAAATACGACTAAATAGTACTGCTTGGCAGGTCTGAAGTAACATGTGCATATGTCCTAACCCATATGCACATTTGGTGCATATCAGCCAAAACTTGGTAAAATGATATATGACAGCACTTTTTAAAAACCCTGGTGGCAAGACATCCGTGGCAAAACAGTTGTGAATAGGGACAAAAAACAAATTACTTTTTTTCGATGAAATAGATTTCAAGGTCACATTGATCTGGACTTTTATTATAGGCTACCAAAGTCTGCTGTAAATGCTTACCCGCGATGACAGTGTCGTCGGGAGCAAAGGATATGGTCGTTGGTCCTGCGGTAGTCGACCCCTCTTGAATAGCACTATCTATATCTTGTTGAAGTTGGGCCATCGTTGTAGACGGTTCGGTGATGGCTTCAGCTACGAATATCAGACTCCCTCTCTGAATTTCAATAACCGTAACTCCATAAATCGTATCAGTGTTTTGCATCATCTGTATAAGCACGCAAATAGGAAAGTGTGATTGTAGAATCTTCGATAAGGTTTTGCATTAGCAGATCTTGGCATTCGGGTAGCGCTGATGACATGGGAACTATATCATGCATACATTCTAAAGAATAAAATGTCAAATCATATTTAGAAAGGGCTGAGGAGTGACCTTTATTTCTAAATGTTGAACCTCGATCATTTTGTGTATTGCTGGAAACACTATAGAAGCTGCATCCAGCATAAAAAAGGGTTGAATCTACCTTTTTGAAAACATTGTCTTTGAATTTTAGTGATTAGCGCAAAGGCTTGTTCAGATATGGCGAAGTAAACACTGCGAAAACCCATTGCATTCATTTTACCTGTAAATGAAAGCTGTTTTACAGAGATTCAGAAAAGTCAAGTGTATTATACTTTACGTCCTCATGTCGATCTGAACAAGCCTTAAAGCAGGAGAATGGATGAGAAAGAGAGAGAGAGAGAGAGAGAGATCGGTACACGGATCAGAATTCAGACCTACCACGATAATGAAATTATTAGCCTCTGCTTGGAATTCAGGAGAATTTGGGTCACTCAGGGCATCAGTGTATTCGTAATCAATACCGTTGAGCGTTAGGGCTCGCACTGAAATGCTGAATTTGTTTGCCTCTGTCAACATAAAACAAACAAATAAACAATCAAAAAAGAAAAAACATGATTAAAAACGATCGCACAAAATATCAAACTAAGTCATCCTTTTTAATCTTTTTCCTCATCATTTGAAACAGTGCAAAGGCATATCACACAATCTGAACATGAAGGCAGTCAATATGATAGGTGTTGAAATGGCCCTTAAGTTGATCGATTTCTAGGAAGTAACGAATTAAGTTTTTTCGTTTACTCTAGTTCATTATTCTTATTTCTGATTTTAAGATCTGGTTGAATCCATGACACATGCTCCGCCGACATTTTCTCTGCAAAACATGACAATTGCTTCGTGACATTTGCTTGGCGACATATGCTCCGTTGTCAAATGCTCCTCCGACAGTTACTCTGCCGACAGTTGCTCCGACGACGATTACTCCTCCGATATTTACTCCTACGACACTTGCTCTGCCGGCAATTGCTCCACCGACAATTTCTCCGCCGACAATTGCTCTGCACGAGGCGATAAATGCTCTGGTTACAAATGCTCCCCAAACAACACTTGCTCCTAGCTCAGAAAGTTGCTCCTCTAACAATTGCTCCGACGACATTTGGTTCCCCCTCCAAAAAAAATTGTCCCGTGGAAGACAAATGAACTTTTGGATCAGAGAGCAATTTTATTGTCTTTAACGTTGTACTTTTGCGGAGGAGCAATTGTCGTAGTAGCATTTGTATTTTACGGGGCGGAGCAAATGTCGGCGGAGTAAGTGTCATTTGAGGAACATTGTCACCGGTGTATTTATCTCATCATACGGAGAAATTGTAGAAGTAGTAGAAGTGGTGGTTATTCTACCTGACTGCTAAGAAAGCATAAATGCTTGTTAATTAGAGTCGTAGGAGCAAATATCGGCGGAGCAATTGTCGTCGGAGCAACTGTCGACAAAGCGATTGTCGGTGGAGCATTTGACGTCGGAGCCAATGTCGCAGATCACATGTAGCCGAGCAATTGTCGTTTTTTGCAGAGCATTTGTCACCAGAGCATTTGTCACCGGAGCATGTGTCGGGTTACTGATCTGGGTCCCGTTGTATAAAACTTGCCATTGATGGTAACTTTACCCATTAATATAAACTTCAATAGAAACATTGATTGGATTGGCTGTTCAATGATATTGCCATGGTAGTAAACGATTTGTGCACTCTCGCAAACAATGCCTCCTGTTCATCCAAGTGTGAACACATACCACACCAAAATGGTACCAAATGATTTGGGATAAAACACTCTTTCATAAGATGTATAATAATTTACTGTTCATAGATGATTTTTTAAATAATTAGGTGTAAACTTTTTTTGACTCACAGGGTATAGAGCGGAAATGAGGATTATGAAGGAACCTTTGCAAAAGCTAGGCTTGTTCTTTTCAGGTTTAAGAGGGCAACACAATAACATGTATATGAGTTACAAAATTGTTCAAATGAACTAACTACAATGTTAAGCAAATGTCAGTTTTTTATAATATGAATAGAGTGTATATCAAATATAGTGTATTAGGTCATATTCAGCAGACAGTTATAAATGTAAATTGATGAATTTTAATTTCGCAATCAAAGATCGAATATTAAATTCTTATAAATTGTGCTATTGCAAGAAATATAATCATATGTTCAAGTCGGAATGTTTTGCCTCTCATGTATGAGTGATCTTCAAATTTTAGAATTCAACACAGTATATATTCAGGCTTTCATATACCCACCTACCATATATAAAATACCCCACTCAATCCATATATATATATATATATATATATGTATATATATATTTGTTAAATCGCACTATTATCTGTCATGATTTGACGCTCATGACTTTTAGACATTATTACCACGGTCATTGCCAAGCCGCCAAAGTTACTAGCAAAGAAGCATATCAGGTACCCTTTTACACCTAAACGGAGAGTGGCAAAATTGACATCCTACTAAAGGACATCAGTGCCAGCCTGGGATTTGAACTCCGTACCTTGCAATCCACATGCTCTGTGACTTATAAACTAGACCACAACAGCTCTACGAAATGTCAAAATAAATATGAAATATCAACAATTTCTTTTTATAAAACACGAACACAATAAATACCTGTGCAAACATCATTCAGTCGGATGAAGGCAGGCCTGCACCGGCATTCATTCTGCACACACGTTTCTGTGTCCCGGCAGGATATAAGCTGGCTAGTGGAGCATCCCAGAGGAGCTATGTCAAAGAGAATGTTAGGTCACAGAAAAATGTATTCATTTTTTCTTTAAAAAATAGTGCAGCATGCATGAATAAAGAGTACCGGTACGCAGACCAGCTCATTATCTGCCACACATAAAAATATCATTGCTACTACTACAACTTATGATTTATAATAGCAGTGGAGTCCATTCCTGGCTGGAGTGTGACAAAATATGTAGATTAATGTCTTGCCAAAATAAAAATAGTGCTGTGACATATTGTGCCACATCGGTTTCCTACATAAATGCTTATAGATTCGTGGAATATAGGAGTAGCTTAATGAAGGTCATTAAACTGATTAAAGACAGGAGATGGGGCATATTACGTGACGTAGCGTCTACAAACTGGGTTGTTCCTATTTTTATTTATTTGTAATTTTATTTATAGAGGGTAGCCTTGTCAGTTACAAAACTGCCTTCTACAATTGCCCTATAGGTCTTGATTATTAAGTACATACAATACGGTTAAAGATTGCAATTATAGAAATATTAATTGCTATGTTATATATATAAATGAACTAAATAATGAATTTAAGGCAAACTAGGAATAATCTAACAATAATGAAGATGAATTCAAGAATTCCGTTGAAAGTTACAACAAAACTATTAAAAGAATCCCAAAACCAAAAGACAAACAGATAAACAACAGCAATAACAACATGATTTTTTTTTAAATAGCAACTTATTTTTAGGATTTGATCATATCTCAACGTTTTTTCTTTGATACATATTTATATTTATATCTAAATTTGGGACTTTTTGATTGTTGGGTCTTGAAACATGCCAGAAAATGGATCTATGTCAAACCTGTCTATAGTGACCGTCTTTGTCTTTGTAGACAGGTGGTCTTTGTAGACAGGTTCCTTTAGTACATGTTTCAATGAGAAACCATTTTCACGGGGGAAACAAATTGGTCATTGTAGACAGGTGGTCACTAAAGCAGATTTGACTGTATATGCATTTGCTGTATAATGTGGCAGATAAAAGGTAAATCATTAATAATAAGGCACAATTTTTGAAACTTCGTCCATATTGAGGACCGACTTTGTGAAACCATTCTAAAAGTATTGGAAGTTCTTACTGGTTCTTTATATATTATTCTATATAATTTTATTTCCCCATATGAAAGAAATTCATCCATGCCGACCTACACTTTGTGGAGTAAATTTCCATCACTTTTTCTATGATCATGTGCATTTGGAAGCAATTTGCTTTCATATTGGATTGTGCGGTCACCTAAAATACATCGCTGGCATAAAATATATACCTACTATGAAAGAGAACACATCCGTGAAAGTGAAATTGACTCTGGTGAGCCCACCAGAGTCAGTTTCTTTCTTACTATATAAGCATGTTTGAAGGAACTCCTTTTTTCTGGTACTTCCATAGAAAGGAACCATGCATAGATGATAAGAAATTCTCAGTTTAACACATAAAACACGTATTTCTGATTATTTATCCAAAATGCAAATTAAATCATATCGGAAAAATTAAAGTGTCTCTCATAGTATATTCTTTTCACACTTGTTTTGCTTAGCCCCGTACTTTGCTTAGCCCCGTACTATCCTTAACCCCGGACTATTTTTGGGGGCTTTTCTCACTGCAATTCCTTAGCCCCGTACTAGCCATGGCCATGGAATTCATTAATTCGCTTCACTGCGTAATCCCGGACTATTTTTCGTTTCTGTTCTCATTCATTTGCTTGGCACCGCAATTGCGGAGTTAGCAGGAGTTAGCACCACAATTGCGAGGTTAGCCCTGCTATTTTGCAGGGTTAGTTAACCCCGTACTATAGGTGGGGTTAGCCCACTTTGGTAAATACGAGTCTGAACAGAAAGTGGAATAGGCTTAACCCCGGACTATAGGTAGGGCTAAGACCCCCCTTTAACCCCACCTATAGTACGGGGTTAAGCAAATTTTTGCCAGTGTGAAAAGAAAGTGGAATAAGCTTAACCCCGTACTATAGGTGGGGCTAAAACCCCCCCTTTAACCCCACCTATAGTACGGGGTTAAGCAAAATATTGCCAGTGTGAAAACAGTAGTAGTGTATTTTCTAGAAGTAAATATAAGGGAGTCTTTTGAGAATATATATAAATTTCACGGGTTTGGAGACTATAAGTATGTTATGTAATAGTGAGAGTAGTTTCTTTTCTTGTTCAGAAATCTTTCAGGAGGGACAAATTGTGCCTCCTTAGAATGCGCTAGAGGCCTCAAGTTGATTTCATTGATAGGTCTGTGCTATCGTGTTAGAACTAAACCACTTACCCATGACTGATATAACAAAGGTGCATGTTGCCGTGTTCCCACTCGGGTCTTGAGCCGCGTAAGTGACTATGTTTTGACCGACGGGAAACGCATCTCCGCTACGACTCGGGGTCAGGGTCATACTGTTGGAATTATCGGATGCAGTGGGCTCCGCCCAAATCGCCGTGGCTGTTTCTGATCCGAGCTCTGTCGTTAAAGTCTGAGAGCTCGGGCAGTCAGTGATAATCGGGGCTTCATGGTCTGCAAACGTAAGGAACACAATATTTTTTTCAATATATGTCACAATTTTCTTTTGTTTAATTTAATTTAGTTTTATTTATTTAATTTGTTTTTAGGGAATAAGCTCTTAAAAATGGTATGTTAATAAATTATCATTAGGATTCATTTTACGTGGTATGTTAATAAACCGTCATGCAAGGTTGCAGTCTACATTCAACTGTGTCAGGGTTACTGGTGAGTTGCTAGCGTTTGTGGTCTCATAAGATCTGTACCTTCATTTTAGGGACCACTCGCAAAACAAGGACGTCCTTGGTTCGAGAACCATGTGAAATTGTTAAAAGTTTCATATAGGGGGTCGTTTATTAATTTGCATGAAGAAAGTAGGTCCTCGGTTATGCGGTAATTAAATTTCCAGATCTTTCTCGGGGTGTTATATTTCTACACAATCCTGTGTCCTTGAATATGTAATATCTTACTGACGTGTACTGGGTATTATGAGCACTTGATTTACAAAAGAAACGTGTGAGACATATTTTCAAAACTCATCTTGCTGTTACAGATAAGTTTTGAGATAAGTTTGTGAGGTCTTGCATATCCCTGATAGCATTACGAAAGGCTCTCGTACTACTATAACACAGGAACCAATTAAAATCACGTGGGGTATCACGACCCTACTTTTGTTTCTCTCGTTAAAACTTTGACAGAGCCTTGCAGCTCTTCGCATCTGTACTCTTCATCATCTTACGTAATAGTGTAAACATACTTTTAGGAGTAGTGAAAGTCAAATGGGGGTTTCAATTTTAAACGACGAGTTTTAGTCATGAGGGGCTTTAATGGGAACACTTTAGTATACGTGTGTTCTCAGGTACAATCCTTCCTCAGTGCTTGTATATTTTGAATCTCATATTTTTGTAGATGATTATGCATTATCTCATCTTTAGCTTGTACTTTCTATCATACTTTTTCAAACAAATACCTCAATGAGCTATTCATCAAAGTATTACTTTTTCTTCTTCATAATTACCCCCACCATAATACTAGCACTCTGCCTGTACCCTTTGCAGTATGTTCTTTTGTTACCACATTATACTATTTAATGTTATTTTCAATCATTGTTTTGAAGGTATAATTATGACTCTCGTTATTAGTTATCATTTTTCCTGTAGATTATGCACAATTGAACATTACGTTGCGACGCATGACTGATAAACAATACCATATTTTATCCGTCATAAGGTAAACACACCCCAGTCGTAAAAAAATAGGAAAAAAATAGGGGAAAAACAGGGAAAAAATAGTCCCGAAAATATATTTTTTTTCTATTTTTTCCCTATTTTTTTAAAAGGAAAAAATAGGGAAAAAATAGTTTTGGTAATAGGAAAAAAATAGGTTTGAAACAATTTTTTCTATTTTTTCCTATTTTTCAGACCTGAAAATAGGAAATAAATAGGGAAAAAATAGTGTAGAAAAAAGTGAAGAAAATAGTAAAAAAATAGTGATAACTAGGTGCTTAGTGAACAGTGAAAAGTAGTGAGGAAATAGGAAAAAAATAGTGAGAAAATAGGAAAAAAATAGTAAGAAAATAGGAAAAAATAGTAAGAAAATAGGGAAAAATAGTAAGAAAATAGGAAAAAAATAGTAAGGAAATAGGAAAAAAATAGTAAGAAAATCAGGAAAAAAATAGTAAGAAAATAGGGGAAAATAGTAAGAAAATAGGAAAAAAATAGTAAGGAAATAGGGGGGGGGGGAATCACTCATCCTTTACTTTCATGGATTTCTCAAGCACTACCATCTCACACATCCAGTCAACGACTCTGTACATTCAACTAAATCATACAGTACAAACTTGATATAAAGAGATCAGTTATACCTGAAATGACAAGGTAATTTACCAGCTTTTGGGGGTTAAGATTTCTTGGTTGCACATGACCTCATTGTCAAAAGTTTCCACTGTAGAATAGTCACCCTACTCCTACAGCTCTTTTCTCTGCATCGATGCACCTACTCAGTTTGCCAAATTCACTTCATCTTTTCAGTCCAATCCATTCAGTAGAACATTTAAAATAGTCAATGGGTATATGGAAAATGTTATACAGTCCACTCCTATTATAACAAACATGGATACACCAAGATTTTATTATCAGGCAATTCTCATCAGTCCCAATTTTAAACAAACCAATGTGTTCAGTAACTTGAGTATAACATGATTTCATTTTAACAAGGAAATTGGCTTGGTCCCGAGCACCTCGTTATAATGGCAGTGGACTGTGGACTGTAACACACAAAAAGAATAAAAGGGAATGTGTCAAATAAAATACATGTACTTTATTTTCGAGAGGTGAACACAATGACATGAGTTTAGTATAGTATGTGTGTTCATATAAGCAAATAAATAAAAGAACTTAACTGATATTTACAATCTTTGGTAAAGTACTGTAGTGTACATGTTGTAGTAATAGAGTTGTTCATGGTTTGCTATGATTATACACTAAAAAAAAAAAAGACCAATGCGACTGCGTCTCCTATATGCCTCCGCCTTAAAAAAAATATCATCCACCTAGAATGTAGCTTTCTATTTTTGTTCAAATAAAGTATTCAGGTGAGTTTCAGGACTATTACTGAGCCGATGCGGATATATGCTAGGCGATCACAAGCTCTCTCCCTCACTAGTAACCAAATAAAGCAGTATTCTGGACATGAGAGTGTTGTTTTCTGTCTCTTTTATTACAATTTAATATTACAAAGTGCTCTTAATAATGTAATAACATTTTCAAACCTCAAGAAAATCATGACAAATAATATTTTTTTCTCGTTATTTACAAAGATAACAAAATAAAATAAATCTTAAAACAGATTTTTCAACAATGCATGCATGCTTTATAGTACAGTTGACATGTTACATAATTTTCTCAATCTCAATTGAACTGTCAAAATCTTAATACAATCATCATAATCTAGAAACACTTACTACAAAATCAATGACATGTCATGTCATTGAGATATATATAAACAAGAAAATGAAAGACTTACATGCTACTATTTTCAAATAGTTTTACAAAGTATACCATCATTACCATGTATCATAAGTAATGGTCTTATGGTCCTTTATCTTCACAATATGCAGGCACTCATTGTGTACACATACATGTTGTACTTGCCTATGAATCTCAATGATTAGACATAAGAATTACATAATAAAATGGAAACAAATACTAATGTAAAGGATACAGATGTTGGTCTTGCTGTTCACAGGCATCTAATCAAATGGTGGTTGTATGTTACATGTACATTGTAGCTTGATTAGTTTCAATGGATCTGTAAAGATATAAATGAAATGTGAGTTAGGGGTTAGAATAATCATGCATTGGTACATTTATGAACATGCAATTAATACTTAGTACAAGTATTTATGTATTTCATAATGAAAAATTCAAAGGCACAGAACATGTGTGTACAAAAGTATGATAGCAAAAAAGATGCCAGGCTGACGACGAACGGATGGTGAAACAACGGAGTCATCAAAGAGCTGTCAAGGTGCATGAAATGTAAACCACTCAGGTAGGCAATTAATTAGAGTTATTTTATTCTTAGATATATCGGGTGAACATACATAAAATAAAACATAAAACACAGAAAAGAAAATAGTAAAGGAACAATTTTTTGAAGAAAAAAATAAAAAGGAAAGAGAAAAATAATGTAGATCTAGGTAGAACTTGTGCCACCTGCAAATTATTGTTCTAGCATAATGATGAGGTAAACTACTCTAATATTTTGATGTCAGATCTTAACTAACAAACATGAAATAAATATACCCAAACAAATTATCAACAATAGATTTAGATTTCTACTTAGTAAGGACATACCTCGCAGACACACTCTCGGACTTGGAAGACTTGCTCTTCTTAATCTTGCGTGGACCGTGGTGCTTTAGCAGGTTGTGTTTTCTGATTCCTAGAAAAATAATTTGAGATACAATTTAGCCTAAAACCACATCAAAACATTATATCATGCAAGGCAATATAATTGACAGACGTAGTAATGGTAAAAAATCTGAAATTTCTACGTGGATTTATTGTAATCACGTTTGTTTACATTCACTCATTCACTAGATCTATACAGACACTACACTAACACTGCACTTGGGGATTCACTTCACTCAGCACTACATGGGAATATTGATCCGTAAAAAAACATTCTATAAGCCTACTATGTCTATGAAGTAGCATTATATTCAACAACAGACACAATAAAAATATATATATCATAATATAATTAAGTTTCAGAAATAAACGTACCTTTTCAGCTGTTTTCTGGTGCCAGTTCCGCTCGTCGATCGTCCGTCATTCGACAACAAACTTGTTTCTCTACGAGTGGGACTAGTAATATTTTGAAAATTTGTCGGGCTCATTTTCTTGGGAAGAATCACTAAAATGGGATAAGGAGGCATCGGAGTATGAGGAGTCACTATCTCTTGATGAAATTTCATCGCTAGAATAATTGCTGGAAGACATTTTGGTGTGATTTGGAGACGTTTGATGAACGGAAATCAGCAAAAGTCCGATGCGCACATCAGTGCGCCAGTGGGGAAAAAAAATAACGGGTAATTTTCAAATTACGTCCGGGTATTTGCGTACTGTCCTCTACGTTGAAACTTTACTCACACATAGAACGGGAATATCTCGATCGAATGCTTTTTTTTCTTTTAATAAAGGAGATTTTTTTTTTGAAATTTCTATGTGTACATTTTCTTTTTACACATGGTTTATGTATGGTTATCTTTGAGTGCACTAGTCACTACTATAGTTTTGTAAATAAAATCAAGAATTTTAATAAAGGAACAAAATTGAAATTTCGTACATTTTCTTTTTACACATTGTTTATTTATAGTTATCTTTGAGCTCACTATTCAATATGTGACCCCACAGCTAAAAACCACCAATAAGTCGCAAAATGAACAACAGGAGATAATGGCAGGAGAAACGGGCTTTTTGAATAGGATGCCAGTCATAAACAATGAAAATATGCAAGTTTAGAAAATAGACAAAAAATAGTTTACAAATTTGTATCATGTCATAAAAAATGTAAGTGCAAAAAATAGGAAGAAAATAGTACTCGCAAATAGGTAAAAAGAAGTCTGAAAAAGATAAAGGTGAAAAAATAGGAAAAAATAGTCTGAAAAAGATTAAGGTGAAAAAACAGGGAAAAAATAGTCTGAAAAAGATTAAGATGAAAAAAATAGGGAAAAAATAGTCCTATTTTTTTCATATTTTTTTGGAGAAAACTAGGAAAAAAATAGTCTGAAAAAGATGAAGGTGAAAAAATAGGGAAAAAATAGTTTGGTACTCGAAAATAGGAAAAAATAGAACTATTTTTTTCCTATTTTCTTTAAAAAAGATAGGAATAAAATAGTCCACAAAAGTTGAAGGTGAAAAAAATGGAGAAAAATTAGTTTGTGCTTGAAAATAGGAAGAAAATAGGACTATTTTTTTCCTGTTTTCTTATAGGAAATAGGAAAAAAATAGTCTGAAAAAAAATATAGGTGAAAAAAATAGGGAAAAAATAGTTTGTACTTGAAAATAGGAAAAAAATAGCCCTATTTTTTTCCTATTTTCTTGAAGGAAATAGGGAAAAAATAGTCTGCATTTCCAGAAAATAGGGACAAAATAGGGAAAAAATAGGGAAAAAATATATTTTCGCAACACACAAAACTACTAGGGCACATACAGGTATGTCCCATTTGGCCCACGTGAAGTAAATAGGTACCTGGCAATGCTGGGGTAACAATAATTGCAGGGACCTCAGGAAACATACTGATGATCGAGGCTACCGCGATAAAATGAAGACAATATATTATTACAAATACTTACCACTGACAACTATGGCAAACATGCATGTGGCTGTATTGCCTTGAGCATCAACTGCTGTGTAAGACAGAGAGGTGATTCCGATTGGAAAGTTGCCTGGATTGGTCCCCTCTCCATTGAATTTCTGTGTAAAGTCATTAGAGTTATCTGTCACACGGGGTTCTACCCAGGAAACCATTGCAAAGTCCTGGTTAAGTTCTGTGCTCACAGACTGTGTGGATGGACACTGGTCTATCACAGGCTCTTCGGTGTCTGTAAAGATTAAAATGATATAATATCATAATAATTTTTCAAAGAATCATCAGAGAAATGGTCTTGAAAGAGACTGTTGGTTATCTTTCTTAGCTTATAGTTCTAAGGAGAACTATGGCGCCAGTTCGAGAGGATATGTGGTAGGAGCTAGTGGCTCGACGTTTCGAACAGGTTGACTATCCGTTGTCAGGAGTGGGAATAGCTGGCGTGCGTGAGCTTAAGTCACCGGGTTGCAGACGTGGGGGGTACTGTAAGGACCCACACAAGACAAAAGTGGTCTTACATGTTTGATGACTTGAGCTGCACTATTAGATTTTATTACAACCACAAAATGGCTGTCAAGATGGCTGACATGCAGTCCATGAAACAATAATCACCAATCACAAGATTGGAAATAAGTAAGTAACCAATAGAAAAGCTTGTAAAGGTAGAGTGCCATATGTGCCATGTGTTGAATAGCTAAGAGATAGGAAGAGTGTGTGTGTGTGGTGCTATAGCAGGTAATGTGCATGAGGATGATTGAATAGGGACAGAACAATAGAAGCCAAGAGCTAGCTGACATGAGAGAATGAATGTAGGTCAGAAGTGCACTGAAGCATATCGGAGTGGAAAGCTAAATGTACAGTGTAAAATAAACAAGTAACCACTTGGATCAGTGAAATTAAAACCTTACATAATATTCCATCTTCACAGAAAAATGTCCTCAATTTAAAAGATATATCGTATTAACATGCATTTGTTTCCGAAGAAAATGAGTCACATAAAATTAGCTTGAAATACCTGATCAAATCAAATCATGTAGTTTTCCTTCTGTACAATTCTCTCTCTTTTTAAAAAAAAGAAACAGCATCTATTAATATTAGGGAAAATTAAACTGTTTAAAATGAAAGGTCACATATATAGCAAATACAAGAAAATGGTATGCTTTCATCAATGAACATCTTCCAAACAACTTCCTAACTTCAATGGGTTTTATTCTTTATCACCCTGAAAATTCCAGTCTAATCATCTGCAGACATAAACACTTAATAATTCCTTCTTTTTTTTTTTTCCCTGTCATAATCTACAAAATATCAAATATTTCATACCCAATTTGGCAACTGTCAATAATTTTACAAAAAATACATGGCAATGTCTTCACCTAAAAAAAAGTATCACTGTTTTGTGAATCTCTGTTAAAAATTCTTTTAAAATAAGTTAGCCAATTGAACAATGAAATACAATGTACACAGAGAATATGCACGCATTCTGTATAACTCTTTCATAACTGTCTCAGATTTAAGGAGACATTATACAAATACAGTGTCTATATGGTCGATAAAATCTCGACTACAAATGATTAATGTAATGAAAAAACACATCTTATGAATTCATGTATCGAAAATCTGTTTTAAATCCAAATATCTAATAACATCAATATAGGTCAAATGACTAAAAAAATATTGTTCAGAAAATGATGTACCCATGTACATGTACACACGTCGACTAATTACATCAATTCTTTTGACACATTTATATAGTCATCGTTGTAAAATAATTCAGGTCAACCCTGTGACAAATACAATCTGAATCTCACATTCTTTTTTTGTTTTGGTATCTTAAAATTCAGCACAATTGCAAAATTTGCATGCATGATGTAGTACGGCGTCAAACCTGTTGAGGCATGAGTACTTGTGTTGTACGCTAACTGAACTTGATTGATGTGAGTGTCCCATTCTCCTCCTTGATGAGAAATGTACTTCGCAAGTTGATCTTTGGTGGTGCGATTACATCATTCGACTATGCCAGCTCCTTGGGGATGATAGGGTGTCGATCTAGACTTTTTGATGCCCAATTTGCTGCATAGTTCTTGCACTAATCTTGATTCGAACTGTCGACCTTGGTCTGTGTGCAAAGTCTCTGGAATACCATGTTCTTTCACATATTCTTCAAACAGATGTTTGGCGATGGTTGGAGCAGTCTGATCTTTCATAGGGAAGATATTGACATACATGTATTTGCTGAAATGATCGGTCACAACGAGTATGTAGCGAAATCCTCGTCTTGTAATTGGAAGCTCAGCAATGTCGGCAAAGACCATTTCCAAAGGGCGAGTAGTGGTAATGGGACGTAAGGGTGCTTGATGCTTAGGGGTTGGTAACCGGAAGGACTCACAAGCTGTGCATGTGTTGCAGAAATCAGTGATTTCCTTCTTCATGAAGGGCCAATAGCACATTGACTCTGCTCTCTGTATTGTGCGATGAGCGCCGAAATGTCCGGATGATGGGTCACCGTGTAACTCTTGGAGTACCCTTGGAATGAGGGAGTTTGGTACGACAAGTTGGAATGAGAGATTACCAAGCTTGTCTTTCTTCTTCCTGTAGAGTATATACCGTCTTGGAGGATGAATTTGGGATACTGCCACAAGAGACGTCTAACCCGGGGGTTGTGTCTACGGATCTGTCGAATGGTTGGCCGCTCACCATTGTTAACGCATTCGATGACTGTACTGATGTCTTGATCTAGTTGCTATTCATGTTGAACATCTACATAACTGTCAAGGATGAAACCACGGTAAGGATGAAGGACATTTGGTGCAGACTGCCTCGTTGAATCCTTGGGAGTAGATGCTTTTGTTGATACTCGTGATGAACGAGTCTTGACTGCATTACACAGTGGATTGGTCACCATGTGCTTGAGTAGCTGATCCGTCAATCTTGGAGTGACTTGGCTCTCTTGACTCGGGAGTCTAGATAATGCATCTGCATTTCTGTGTGAAATTGTCCTTTCTTGTGAATAAGGCTGAACGTGTAGGAATTGAGTTCCAATATCCATCGTGTTCTCTTCCCAGTTGCATCGTCTTGAATTGGGAACTTCCTGAGAGCCAAAAGAGGTTTGTGGTCTGTCAGGATAGTGAAGTGTTGGTGTCTCAGATAATGACGAAAATGGCGAACAGCTGTAACAATTGCCCAGAGCTCTCGATCATAGGTAGACCATTTCTTCTGCGTAGCACTGAGAATTTGGCTGAAGTAGGAGATTACACGTTCTTTACCATCTTGAGTCTGTGAGAGGACGGCACCAACTGCATGAAGGGATGCATATGAAGATAGGATGAACTCCTTTTCAAAGTCTGGATAGGAGAGGTGGATTGGTCAGAGCTTCTTTCAGATGTTGAAAAGCCATTTCACACTCTGCTGTCCATACAAACTGTTGACCTTTCTGTGTAAGGGTCGACAAGGGAGTTGCAATCTTAGAGAAACTCGGCACAAAACGTCGGTAGAAAGATGCCAGGCCAAGGAAGGATCGGACATCAGTGGGTGTCCTCGGCTGAGGCCAGGACTTGACTTTCTCAACGTTGTTTGGTTCAGGTTTCACTCCTTCGGTGTTGATTATGTAGCCAAGATACGTAACTTCTTTCTTGAAAAAGCCACACTTTGAGGGTTTGAGTTTGAGTTTGAGTCCAGCGTCTCTGAATCGTTGCAATACTTCTTGGAGGTTCTTGCAATGATCATCGAAGTCCTTGCCCATGACTATGCAGTCATCAAGGTATACAAGGCATGTAGACCAGTGGAGGCCATGTAGAACGGCTTCCATGAGGCGCTGAAATGTCATGGGAGCGTTGACCAGTCCGAATGGCATGACAGTGAACTGGTAAAGCCCTGTGCCTGTGGTAAAAGCAGTCTTCTCTGTATCTTGGGGATCGAGCTTGACCTGCCAATATCCACTTGATAAGTCCATGATGCTGAAATATGCTGATGAAGAAAGGGAGTCAATTGAATCATCTTGACGTGGAATAGGGTGAGAATCTCGAACAGTTACTGCATTGAGTTTTCTGTAATCCACGCAAAATCGGTATGTGTTGTCCTTCTTCTTCACCATGACGATTGGGCTCGCCCATGGGCTGAAGCTCTCTTCAATGATGCCTCTTTGCAGGAGTTCGTCCACTTGCTCCTGAATTTCCACTCTCATTGCTGGTGAAGTTCGGTAAACCCTCTGTCGTATTAGAGTAGCTGTGGTAGTGTCAATGTGGTGATGAATAATGTCAGTCTGACCAATATCCTGAGACGTCGTGCTGAAAATATCACTGTAGGTTTGAAGAAGATGTTCTGCTTTCTCGTACTCTGTTCTCGTGAGTTCTGAAGAAGGGAGAACGCCAGCAACTGGCGACTTGTCCGTCACTTGTGAATCTGCGTCAGTAGTTACGCTCATGATCTTGTATTCCTCTTCAGAATCCCCAGTAATGGAGAAGAATTGACCAAGGCAGGTGTCTGCAGGTAGATCGACTGCTTCGTCAGAGGGATTAATGAGGCGTACTAGAATAAGACCATCTTGAGGCTTGAACAGAGATCTGGCACCGATAACAGGAATGTGATCTTGCAATGTTGGTTCAAAGTAGCCATCGTAGTCTCTTGGTATGATGTCGAACTGTGGCGACGACAATCTTCCCTGGACGTGAGTTTCGCAGCTTGGAGGAATCCGAGCTTGTCCAACAAGAGAAACTTTACATTTCAGCGGGGCTTGGTATTGCTGACGATCGATGAAGGGAATAACATTTCCAGGCATGTTGAACGATGTTGACGATATGCAGGCATTCTGGCTGTCAATAAAGTCCCATCCAAGGACAACTGAATGAGTGATGTTGCGTGCAACAACGAACTTGTGTTGTGTAGCCTTGTTCCCTAAGTGCAGAGATGGTACGATTGTTCCTATGTTGTCTACCAGCCCACCTGTGATAGTAGATGCCATGGATGTCAACTTTTCCAACGGGCTCCTTTGCGATGCTGGAATGGATGACAAAAATTTGGCACTCAACAGAGAGATGAATGATCCACTATCTACGAGTGCCAATACATAGACATTGTCGATAACGATAGGGATGTAGGGCGATTTCTTTGGCGAAATAGGTGTTATTCTTATTGGGGCATTGGTGTGTGTAGCTGATGAATGGCCCTCTTCCTCAACTACCAGAAGTTTCCCTGCTGCTGGTCTTCAAAACGAACTTGACGATAGGGAGCCTGTCT